CAAAAAGAGCTTGAAGTCTTGTAGAGAATGATTGTTGAAAAATCAACATGAAACGATTTTCTCCATCTGTCATAACACATGCCTGTGTAGAATACAACTACCTCCTACTGTCTTTACTCTTTAAAAATGAAAATGCACATTACATCCATTAAACACAGGAACATACAACTTCAGCTGAATATCACATTGCAATCCATAGTATAATAATGTGATACAGACAAACCAGCATGATTTCCGTAAACTAAGCCTTTGTAAAATGTCAGAATTTATTCAAAAAGGTAACAGATAAAAGGATAACCTATGAATATTATATAATAAGAATTTCCACCTAGCAAAATTTTTTGTAAAGACTCTCAAAAACATACTGAGGAAACTTGATAACCACAAGAGGGAAGCACTAATTCCTGTCCTGAAATTTAAAAAGGATTGTTATTTCCCTCTACTTCTGCTTGTGTCTCAGAATTTTCCCTATTGCATCTTATGATCCAGCGTATATGACTGCATACAGCTTTTTGGTCCTCTGAAGTAGAAATAGTAGAGACTAACATGAAATATTCCTCTTCTGACAGCCACACATTACTACCTTAATATCTAGAACCTTCCAGCTAGTTACTACATTCCAAAGAACATGACCCTTAGCTGGATAAAATAATCTTCTAAGATACTACAAAGAAACATACTTACACGTAAAGAGGAGGAAATCAATTTAGATTCTCAGCAAATAGGTATCTTGTGGAATATCTAAAGAATACAGAACTGGCAAACCATAATAAGGCAATATTAAAGAAATGGGCTCATGTGCAATATGGATGCAAAAAAAATCTCTCTCTCTCTCTCTCCGCTCTCTGTATTTATTCTTAGATGGTTTTGAGAAGGGGACTGAAATCTGTTTTACTTCTAGATCTTTTACTACTATGGATTTGTAAAGAAATCATGTCAAAGCAATCTGATAGCTTTCTTTAATAGGATAACGAGTCTTGTGGATAAGGGAGAAGTGGTGGATGTGCTATACCTAGACTTTAGTAAGGTCTCGTATGATATTCTTATCAATGAACTCAGCAAAAACAACTTAGATGGGGCTACTATAGGGTGGGTACATAACTGGCTGGAAAACCGTTCTCAGAGAGTAGTTATTAACAGTTCACAATCCTGCTGGAAAGGTATAACAAATGGGATTCCGCAGGGGTCTGTTTTGGGACTGGTTCTGTTTAACATCATCAACGATTTAAATATCGGCATAGAAAGTACACTTATTAAGTTTGCAGATGATACCAAGCTAGGAGGGGTTGCAACTGCTTTGGAGGACAAGGTCATAATTCAAAATGAACTGGAAAAAATTGGAGAAATGGTCTGAGGTAAACAGGATGAAGTTTAATAAGGACAAATGCAACATGCTCCATTTAGGAAGGAACAATCAATTTCACACATACAGAATCGGAAGCGACTGTATAGGAAGGAGTGCGGCAGAAAGGGATCTAGGAGTTATAGTAGACCACAAGCTAAATATGAGTCAATAGTGTGACGCTGTTGCAACAAAAGCAAGAATGATTCTAGGATGCATTAACAGGTGTATTATAAGCAAGACACGAGAAGTCATTCTTCTGCTCTACTGTGCACTGATCAGGCCTCAGTTGGAGTATCATGTCCAGTTCTGGGCACCACATTTGAAGAAAGATGTGGAGAAATTGGGGAAAGTCCAGAGAAGAGCAACAAGAATGATTAAAGGTCTAGAGAACATGACCTATGAAGTAAGACTGAAGTAATTGGGCGTGCTTAGTTTGGAAAAGAGAAAATTGAGAGGGGACATAACAGTGATTTCTAAAAGGGTGTCACAAGAAGGAGGGAGAAAACTTGTTCTTCCTGGCCTCTGAAGATAGAACAAGAAGCAATGGGCTTAAACTGCAGCAAGGAAGGTTTAGATTGGACATTAGGAAAAAGTTCCTGTCAGGGTGGTTAAACACTGGAATAAATTGCCTAGGGAGGTTGTGGAATCTCCATCTCTGGAGATATTTAAGAGTAGGTTAGATAAATGTCTATCAGAGATGGTCTAGACTGTACTGGGTCCTACCATGAGGGCAGGGAACTGGACTCAATGACCTCTTGAGGTCCTTTCCAGTCCTAGTATTCTATGATTCTATGGAGGGAGTCAACATGTGTTAGTATTTGTTGCTGCACTGGTCATGAACCGTAAGGATCATGGCCAGTTGTCCTAGATGCATCACTGAGGAGATGAAATTTTATAACTGGTAATCCAGAAGTAGACAATAAAAGAGGGATAGACAATTCAGACATGTGGATAATAACCCCACCCCCAACTGCTTCTTGACTGCACAGTAGTCTCAAACATAAAAACTCACTTCTGAAATCTCCAGTGCAGACTAAACTGGAGGACTAATTGTGATTTTAAGGTAGGACATGCATTAGAGCAAGAGATAGGAGATATTCTACTAAATATTTTTAAAACAACGAACATATTTTCCTGAGATGTTCATACTGATCTCGTATAGTACACCTCTTAAAAACAAAAGTGGGATTAGGAAGTAGGCCAGAGACCGAAAGCTATTCTGATCACTCAATTTACGTTTAGGTACCTTAAAAATTTGACTTTAGAATTGTTACTCGGGAAAGAGAGAGACTCTTTACAGCAAATTCTGAAAAGCATCAGATGAGAGATGAATGGTTTAGTGACCTGCTGTGTAAGTGGCAAGGAAGAAATGAAATCTGTTAAAGAAATGGCCTTCTCAGTAATGAATGATACTACCACCATTATAAGAGCAAATGTATTTACACATTTCCCAGCTGTCCGTGGCTGACTGACTGACATACATCAAACTGAAATAAAATCAGCTTGTTCAGCTTGTAAGGGGAATCACTTCAGAAGCCATTTCATGATGCAATTATACTACTTCATTTTATTATTTTAAAATATAAAAAGTCTAAAATCCAGATCTGCCATGCATTATCATTCAAATCTAATTATAATCATATGATATAGTTACATCAGTTGTTTTAAAGTTATATAACTTGTTTTGAAGTGCTATGCCAAAATAATACGTATTTTCAGTCTTATACATCTTTGTTAAAAGTTAACATTTAATCTGTACGTTTTTATGCATATTTCTCATTAAAATATTTTTACGGTTTAGAAAAAAAACCTCAGAAACCTCCACGTTAATTCTCTTATACTGCAGAAGAGCTACGTGAAACATTTATTTAAAATACAGACTAGAAATTCTTGTTCAGATTTTTTCCCCCCAAGAAACAAATTCTGAGTAAAACACAACAACAATAAACATACCTGATGTCCAGCTGTTATTTGCTTCAAAAGGTTTTCGTAACATACTTCATCCATATTATTCATCTGCTGCACCTGGATAGTAGTAAGTGGCATGTTACCATTTAAAAATAAAGGCAGTCCTTCAATCTAGTTGAAATATACTTTATATTAAATCAATTGAAAGAAATCCATCAAAAAATGTATTGGAAACAAATATTAATGTCTAATATATATAATATAAAACAGTTATTTTTCCGTCATACTGAAGTCCTAGCATCATATGAACAAAATCAAACATTAGTATTTGAATATCAGCCAGATCTAAGAATTTGCTAATAAAGCAAAATGTACTTGCCATCTATATAACAACACCTACAGACATACGATCAGCTGTCCAAGTCACTGAGGTTCATTTCCTCCATCTAAGTTCAAAAAAATCCTCCTTACATTAAAAAGGATTTTCTCTATAGGTATACATAGTAGCATGGGAAGTGGAACAATTTTGCAGAGTATTTTATACACACAGTTCCATTAACCCACTGCATTATTATTTATCAGTAATTCCATATCAACAATTTACCATCAAAAATTTTGTCATCATGCCAATAAGAAGAGAAATGGCAAAGATGTTTGTTACATTCAAACAAAATTTATACAACATTAAGGTTGTGATCAACCAAAACGAAACAATGGAATTCAAAGTCAGAGCTGACACTCAATCCATAGCTCATTCTGTACATTTAAGAAGGGAAAAAAAGACACTTGATCTACTCAGAATAGTGGAAAGCATTGTTAAACACAGCTTTAATGGAAAAAAACAATGAAAAAATATATCCAACTATAGTGTCACATGAATGCCATGAGAAAAAGAATGTAATGTTTCTTTATAATATGGCGCTATCACTAAGAGAAACATTTTATAGATTATGTTTCGTATACTACAGACTAACATCATGATACAGTTCTAGGTCTTTCCTGCATGGAAAAAAGAAGAAAAAGAAAATTGGGTTAAACGAATAAAGCACAGTATGGCATTTAAATCCTCTTAGCAGACCATCACATGTTTACCTAGTCCAACCTCCTCTTTTCCATTCAAATTGTAATAGCTAACGAGAAGGTCCATTACAGTATCAACATTTAGCTTTTACATAGCATTTAATAAAAGAACTTTTTGAAGGGTCATGATACAGGCAGTCCCCAGGTTACATGGATCCGACTTACATCGGATCCCTACTTACAAACGGGGTGAGGCAACCCCGCACTAGCTGCTTCCCCCCAGCAGACCAGGGAGATGCAAAGCTAGCACCCCCCCCTCCCAGCAGACCAGGGAGACGCGGAGCGGCTTTTCTCAGCAGACACCTCAGCTTGAGAATAAAGGACTGAGGGAAGTGAGGTGTGGGAGAATAAAACTGAGCTCTGGAGAAATGTTTGGCTAGAGTTTCCCCTACAATATGTACCAGTTCTGACTTACATACAAATTCAACTTAAGAACAAACCTACAGTCCCTATCTTGTACGTAACCCGGGGACTGCCTGTACAAAGAAAGAAAAGGAAAGGAAACCAAAATGAACCAACTGTGGTAAGTGGATCAAAAAGGATAAAATAAGAAAGGATAAGTGAATGCTAATAATAGCAATGCTGAGCTCAGATAATGATAATAAATTTAGAATTAGGAGAAAATTAAATCATTATCTTTTCTTAGTGTCAAACATACATGGGTGCCTCATAAAATATACATGAAAATATGGGCACTATGGGTGATGGCATCTAAATTTTGGTGAAATAAGAAGAGCCCCATTTGACTGTACCAGCTGAAGAAAGGCGCATGTGATGGGACAAACTCTGGTTTAAGTTATAAACGCCTTGAGATAAAGATCACTCCTGACTTAGTTTTAAGCACACTGTTGCTATTCAGCATCACTACTTTAAAAAAAAAAAAAAAAAAATCAGAGAGAATTTTTATCACAAAAATAACAACAGAAATGCAAAGAAAAGAAACTAATTTTTGTCTGGCCATGCTGGAAGAAAGGAGGCCATGGATGTGCTTTAATTAGGTCACAACTTTATTCACTTACAATATCTGGAAGAACACAGCAACACATTACACAATATAGGGTCATCATTTTCTTATTCATTTCCACATAACCCCCAGCATGCTCCCAGCCATCCGATAGCTGGGATCCTGCCATCCTTCCCTCATATAAAGTGAAAAGGGGTTAGGAAAGCAGGGAATGGGGGATCAGCTCCCCATGTTCCAGTAAAAGGAATCCCTCTTTTCTTAGATCCTGTAAGGTATGCTTTCCTTCAAATTCTTTTCCAAACCATTTTATCCAGTAACTATACCCCTTTCATACATATCTGCCATATGTATGAGGAGTCAGAAATTATGCTTGGTTGCCTCCCTCCCCATTCCAGAGTTCCCAGATATTAACGGATTCCCTCCTTTTTCACCAAAGTGAGTGCTCCGATGCTGCCAGTGCATAAGAAGCATCACCTCGCCCACAGTATGTCCCTTCTTCCATGTCAGTTCAGCACTGGCTTACCTAGCTCCAACTGTGCCACAGCCTAATGACCACAAAGTCTACTTGTACACTCATTATGCCATACTGTGCCCACAACTCTATATCACCACTAGAAGATTATTTATTTAAAATAAACAAAGGAAGTATTAAAGCTTCTCTTTTATCTTTGACAATTAACTATTTTCTACTGAAACAGTTGCTAAACTAAATGTATCACTGCTGCTTGATGAAGTCTTCTTGGCTAAAATTATAAAACAAAATATGACCTTTCATAAACTTGTATTCTACATTTTAGAACTCTAATTTGTGTATCATTCAGAGATTAAGTAATAGTGCAATTTTACAACCATTTCATCCCTCAAACTAGAAACAGGAGAGGCTTCCAAAATATTAAGTTAATCTTTTCACAGGTATCTCTGGAGGAACTTCACCTGGGATGAATTTGCAGTATGTGCATTAGGGATCTTGAAGAACTAGATAAGTTCATGGACAATAGATCCATTGGTATCTATTAGCAAGGGTGGGCAGGGATGGTGTGTCTAGACTGTTTGCTCCTAGCTGGTGGTAGAGATGTAGCCGTGTTAGTCTGGGGTAGCTGAAGCAAAATGCAGGACAATGTAGCACTTTAAAGACTAACAAGATGGTTTATTAGATGATGAGCTTTCGTGGGCCAGACCCACTTCTGGGTGATGGGACGGATTAACTGATAACTGCCTATTCTGCTCATTCCTTCTGGAGCATTGGCCACTATTGTAAAACAGGATACTGTTGTAAAAAAAGATACTGGGCTAGATTTACCTTTGGTCTGACTCAGCATGGCTATTCTCATGTACAAATGAGTATACTTCATCTTTGTCTGGCTACCCTGGTAAAGTGGTATACCTTTTTAAGGGCAGTGATACAGACACTGCTTCAAACTAGAGAAGATGACCACTGGCACAGTCACTCATCCTCTTGAAATTACTGGAATGGGGGGAAGTACAGAGGTGCAAGACAGGAAGAAGCAGTCCCCTTTCACTTGGCTCACGAAGAGCAGCAACCATCCTTCTACTCCGGAAAAAGCTGAAATACCAAGTTTGGTCAGGAACTATTTTGGGATCTATGCTACACTCTTGTCTCAGGGAGACCAGGAAGGGAATTTTCCTTCACCACCAGGTTGTCCAAGATATAATGCAGTTTAATTTAGCTACCCCACAGTGGGAGGGCTTTTATTGGGGCAAACATGACATGGAAGGTTGACTGTGATATCCCAGCCAATCAAGTCTAAGGTAGGTATCATCAGAATGGCCATACTGGATCAGACTAATGGTCCATCTAGCCAAGTATCCTGACTTCCAAAAGTGTTGTCACATGATTCAGAGGGAATGAACACAACTAGCTATCAAACACAGATTTAGTCAAACACGTGTCAGGTATGATCTAGATCAGTGTTTCTGAAAGTGCTCCGCGAAACCACTTTAAGAAACACATTAACTGTCCACCCCAGTTTGTTTATTTACTGGTGTCATGGCCACGGAGCCTCGCAGCTCCCATTGTCCTTTGCAGCCAAGGGGAGCCACGGGAAGCTGGGAGGGCCGGGCCTCTGCTTCCCGCTGCTCCGCTTGGCTACAAAGAGCAAAACGGAGCCAATGGGAGCCACAAGGCTCTGTGGCTGCGGTGCCAGTAAATAAACAAGCCAGGGTGGGCAGTTAATGTGTTTCTCAACGTGGTTTCGCAGAGCACTTTTAGAAACACCGATCTAGATGGTGCTTGGTCTTGTCATGAGAACAAGGAATTAGACTTGACGACCTCTTGAGGTCCCTACCAGTTTTATGATTCTGTGATCAAGTGATTGAGTATCTATTGTCCACTACCTGGTTTTGGCAGTCAGATGTTAGGGTGACCCAGTCTACAAGAATGCAGTGCTGGCCATCTTGGCTAATAGCCATTGATGTACCCATCTTACATGAACTTAATCTAAGTGGGCTTTTTTTTGAGTATGCGTTATGTGAAGTACTTATTTTTTGTTTTAAATTTGTTGCCTATTAATTTCATTGGGTGACCCCTGGTTCTTGTATTATGGGAAGGAGTAAATATTTCCTTATTCTCTTTGTCCACACCAACAACAATTGTAGAGCTCTATCATATGTTACCTTAATCATCTCTTTTCAAAGCTGAAAAGCCCAAGTCTTTTTAATCTCAGCTCATATAGAAGCTGTTATATACTATTAATCATTATTGGTGCTTTTCTGTCCCTTTTCTAAAGCTAACATAGCTTTTTTGGAATGGGGCAACCAGAACTGCATGTAGTTCAAGATGTGGGCATCCCGTGAATTTATACAGTGACATTATGATATTTTCAGTCTTATTATTTATATAGTTCCTAATGGAGCCTAACGTTCTGTTTGCTTTTTTTTTGGCTGCTAGTGCACATTAAGCAAAGATTTTCAGAGAACTATCTATAATGACTTCAAAATCCCATACATGAGCGTTAAAAGCTAATTCAAATCCCATCATTTCTATGTATAAATGGGATTGTGTTTTCCAATGTGTATTACTTTGTATTTATCAAAATTGAACTGCCTTTTGTCA